GGCGGCTGGCACACCTGTGTCCGTGGGTGTAGCTGCCTGGCCCTCCCCAGGGACTGGGAAACTGGTTTTGGCGGATGGGGACTTGTAGGGGTTGAAAGTTTGGCAGATTAAAAAAATCATTTATGCACATATTAAAATACTGCTTCTTTCCCCGAGGCGAGTCGGGCAAATAAAGCCTTTGCCCTGCAAAGCCAGTCGTCGGCGTGTAGGATAATTCCTTGTCTGAGCCTCGGCTAGATGATATCGTGAAGCTTTAAAACTTAAAGGCGTGTCACGCTTGCTGGCCTCAGCCAGGCGTCAGATAAAACCCACGGGGCTCTCTCCTGAAAGCGATAAAGTCCCAGCTGATGGGCGCCGGCTGTTACCGCTGACTTCTCAAATATGGCAAATTGACCCTGACCGGGCACCTCCTGGGCTGCAAGGAGCCATCAGGGCTCTTTGTAAGGACCGTGATTTTAAAAGATGCTTTTTCAGGCTCTGGGATACTGGGGTGATGCTGTCTGGCTGCGCTGGCTCCAGGCTGTGCTGATGCATGAGATGCTTAGGTGGGGTTTCTTTCTGGCTCTTTCAGTTTAAACGCTGCTTAAGCTCTTGTTTTGACGGTCTGTGTTTCTGTCTTAGTAGTCGTGGTGTTTACAAGGTGGGAGCGTAAAGATTTTGGCGTGTGGTGTGGGAGAAGAGGTTTAGATCCACCAGGTTTGATAGCAGGTGTCCGATTAAAGCTGCCATTTAAGGATGAACAAAAATTGAAAAGCAGACTGTTTGGGTGTAATTCAGACTTTTTGGGGTCCTGGATATCTTTTCTCTTTCTTAGCAGACAAACCAACCAAGGAAAAGCCTTGGATTTGGGCTCCTCAAGTTTCCCGCGCTACTCCACAGCAGCTATTCCGCAGGTGTGACTTTCAGAAAAGGGAAATTTGGTGCGTTATTTTTCAAACCCTTTTTTTTGCAGCACGTCCTTCGTGAAGGACCGTGCGCGTCGTCTACGCTGCGTTTTCCATTGCCAGCAAGGGCCCTTGCTGGTGGGACGTAAAAATTAATCATAGAAAAAGGGCCCTTCTGAAATGTTTCTGTGAGCATCCGTGGAGGACAAAGCCTCTTTCAAGCAGCCTGAGGATTTTATTTACTCTCTGTAGCTGCTTGCTCTGGAGTTTCAATGCTCTGCCCTTGTTTATAACCAAGAGCTTCCGTTTGTCGGCGCAGCCGGGGAGATGGTTTGCTTGTGGGAAGGCTGGCGCTGGGCAGCGTGCTCCCGGCGTTTGGGCCGAACACGCGCCGTATCGTGTGAGGTACGGCGCGTGGGTTTCTCTCTCGAAGTTTTCTTTTATTCTAGCTTAGCGGAGCAGATCTCATCAGCCGTAAATATCGGCGCTCTGGTTCTTTTTTTCAGCTGTGTTTATCTTGCTGACTTATTTATGTATTTATTTATTAAAAATTGGTGTAAATGGACATAAAGTCTGGCTACGGAGTCTTGGCTTGCTTAAATTTTGGGTGATTTGTGTTCTTTTGCTGCTTTTTGGGGCTTTGACGTGTGGGATGCTGAGGCCATTCAGTTTCCTCCCAGCTGTTGCTGTTCCTCTGGTACATTTGCGAGTGATAAACACCCGGATTCGAGTCCCCAGGATTGTTTTAAATCCCCAGGAACTAAATGTCAGACTTATCCAAAAGGAGAAAGGAAATGAAAGCATCGCTGGGAGTGCCGGAGGGGATGTTTGCTGCAGGCCCTGTCGCTGCTCTGCCTTCCCGTGTCACCCGGGGCTTTTTTAAAAACTGGTCCTCGCTGTAACTTTTCCAGGCAACTGTTTTGCTGGGGAATGAGGCTGGAATGTCATTTTTCTTGCCTGGCTGAAACAGCATCCAGCATTTTAAACAGAAGGTGCTGTTGTTGAGCGGGCGCTTTAATTAAGAATAACGATTGTAAATACGGGGTTAAAACCACTACTTGTAAATAAATGCTTTTCCTTTCTCTTGGGAAAGCCACTTCTGTGTGTGCAAAAGCCTCAAAGAAAGTCCCTGGCGTTTGCTGGGGGATACTCATTTAATGAGAGCCAAGGCCAGTTAATTTTTCCTGCGGACGCAGCGTGAATCGGCGAATTCGGAGCTGTTGTGAAGGATGCAGGATGTAAACAGTGCGTGTGTTGGTGGGCTACCTACGGAAAAGATGCATTTCCAGCCCTAGTCACAGGAAGGGAGAGCGCAGTCCTGGAGAAGAGACGCGGGTGGGATGGTCGCTAAGTTAGCACATCTGCCTGGCATCAATAATTGGTTTGACCATATTAAAGATTGGAAAGGTTTTTATTCAATGCTTAAGAAAAATCCATGATAATAAAAGCATGAAGCGTGGGGATTTTAATTGTGTGCTTGGGGGGGTTTCCCGCCCCCGTAATAGTTTTCTGTGCTTCAAAATCTGTATGAAAGTCGGAACGCACGTGTGCATCTACGATGGGATGGGAGGTTTTTCTGTGTCAGCTGGCGCTTTTCCCCTGGCGTGGCAGCGGTGCCGCTGAGCGCGGCGTGAAGCCCTCCTGCCTCCCCGCGGCACCTACCCCTCCGCACGCCCCCGATTGCAGAACTCGTAATTTAGGATGGCTCGAGGGAGTTTTATTACAGGGGAGTTTTGAAGTCCTCGCCTTGGGGAGTGATGTAATTTTGATGTCTGGTATTGTGAAGCCTTCCCGGGGAAGCAGCTGTAGAAGGGAGCGGAGGAGTGGTGAGAAGCTCCCCGTTTATCCGCCGCAGGTCATGAGATAGCGTTGGTTCCGTCCTTTGTCTGGGATGTGGTACCCTTGGGACAGTACAAGCTGAAATGGGGGCGGAATTTGAGGGTGGGGGAAACTTTGGGGGTTTTTTTGGGGGAGACCGAGCTGGTGTCAAAATCCAAAAGGCAGGGCTGAAGTTTCTGGTACGGTTAAAATGCCTGAAGTAGTCTTGGAGGGGGTGTGAGCAAAAGTGCAAGCGGAGAGGGGTGAAGAAACGTAGGTATATGAAGATGGTCGCTGTTTGTGTCGATGTAAGTGGGAACGCATCTTACCTACTCACAGGCGCCTTTGAGTCTTTAAAACAAACAAACAAAAATCTTAACTCGAATGTTTTGATGAGAAAACTATGGCTAAGAAAAAAGTCGTTTCAGTAAAACGTTCTGGTCTTGAAGCAGCACACTTTTGAAATTCAGATAATCCCCATCAAGTGTTAACACATGTGGTTTATGCCTAGTTTGTTTGTTTTTTAAATTTTCTAAACAAGCAATCTACCAGGCAAGCATTGAGCTTGTTAACGGTGCTCTAGCGTTAGCAGGAGAGTCTGTCTTTAAGCTGTATTATCTGCTGCTTTCCGAGCAGGGTAAATGCAGCCTGGACACAAAGGTATCGGGTCTTTAGATTTTGGGGGTTTTTAATTTTTTTTAAAAAAATCATCATAATAGCGGAACTCCTGAATCACATGTACATGTACGGTCACTAATTTTCTAATATGTAATTGTTTCCTATGGTTCTGAGACTCTTTCCTTGATTGTTACAGCTGTATTTAAAAATTTTTTCAAACTGATTTGTTTATGTCGTCATCTGCTTGAAAGGAAACGTATAATTTATTACCTAAATCACTGAATTTTTTTAAAGAATAAAGCTAACACTACAAATTGACCATTTAGTAATAAAAAAACTTAATTTGTTTGTTTTTTTTACCTAGTTACAGCAGAAGCGTATAAGCAGTGAATTTGGGTACCTGTTATTTGTCCACCATGTTTTCTCTTCTGGCATCCGTAACGTGACAGCACAATTTCTGAATCTGTCAGAGGGGCAGTTACTCGGAATTTGGGCGTGTAAAATTTTAAGTTGTTTTGTAAATAGCTTCAGTATACTTATTTTTATGAGTGAACCCTTTCAAGATTTTTCTTTTTTAAAAGACCACTTGGTGGCATTCCCCTTTGGGTTTATTATTCATTCCTGTAGAAAATCAAGAATTTCCAGTAAGTTGTTATTTATTTTAAGATATCCCACAGTTAAATATTTCAACTCTTGGGTTCACGATCTTGCAACGAAGTATGTTATGTGTTTGTCTAGACCTTTGTCGAGGATATGCCATGTGATACGCAAAAATTTCTATAATTAAGAGGCGTGCGCTCCTCGCCGTTGGTGTGCGGGGAGCAAACTCGGGGTTCCTGCAGAAACGTCAGGTCAGAAGAGGGGAATGTTGTTTATCAGATTGCCAAAATCATTGATTTGAATCTGGGCTCTTCCCTGAGGATGTTCCTGGCTGTTGGAGTTGGCAGTAAGGTTTTTCCACTGCAATTTTCATGATTAAGTATTGTGGGCTATTTTTTTTTTTTTCAAACTCAGCATAATTCAAAGCAACTTACAGTATGCCATAGGTTTAATACCAATTTATTTTGACTTAACCATGATTGAAATATCTTTACCTTGTTAAATGAGACACGTCACTTCTTGTTTCACTTGTCAACTTGATCTGGTAGTTACTCAAGAAAGTGACATAATTTTAAACTTTCGCTTTTTTTTTTGCCGGTTTTTTTTTTTTTTAAATCCAGTGCATTTCCCGTGATGGCAGGAGGAGCAGAGGTATAGGATACACCTGGCCTTATTAATGAGCCTAAATCCAATAGGAGCTGATATGAAGGGAAGTATAAGCTGTTGATTGCAGACCAGCTTAGAAATTGTGTTATGTTAGAGGCATATATATATTCACACACATACACACACACAGAGAGGGAAAGACAGGCAGACATGCAAGGGAGGGACATTCATGTCATGGCATCTGCTAGTATATGTAATATACGTGATCTCAGATGAGTAATAAATTACATTGCAACCAGTGATGTGTGTTTCAATTTGTTTAACTCCCAGAATGTTAAAAGCATTATTAAATACATTTTTGAAATTAACAAATCTCAAGTTTTTTCTCACTCGGCTTTTTTCTGCTTTACTCTTTGAATTGGTTATTTCTGGGTTTTTTGTTTTGTTCTGTTTTAATCCAAACTTCTGATTTGAGTGTTTCATTGTTTCTATTTCATTCTGAAGCGAGTAGTCACAGGTTGATGTGTACTCACAAAATGTCATCTCTGTGTTTTACTGGGAGAAAGAGTAACGTCTATGCTTTTCTCTTTTTCGGTTTCAGGTGATCGGAGCCCTTGTCCTCGCAGTTGGGATTTATGCAGAAGTTGAAAGACAAAAGTACAAAACTCTAGAAAGCGCCTTTCTAGCCCCAGCAATTATTTTAATACTTTTGGGCATTATAATGTTCCTGGTATCTTTTGTGGGTGTGCTGGCTTCTTTAAGAGACAATTTATGCCTTCTTCAAGCAGTAAGTGTTGGGGTTTTTTTTATTCTTAATATTTAAGGCTCGTTGCTTCTGCTTTTCAGCATCACCTGAATTCAAACCTGTAACTATGTCTGCACTGAAAAACCTTTTAATAAAGTGGCTTTTTTGATTTTAATTAAATCTGAAACAGCTTTACGGCACTGATCCCCTAACCGTGGTCTGCGGATGTCCCCTCCGTCCGGGAGCAGCAGTATTTTGTCCTGCCCACGACAGGACAGGCGAGGGTCAGAGCCCGCCGCTGAGAACACCACCTTTCCAATAGTTAAGGGCTTTATGGAAAACAACCAGGAATGCGAATTATTATCAGTTGGCGTGGATCTCGTGCAAACTCAGCTGTTGACATACCGTTTGACGTTAGCCAAGCGTTGGACCTCTAACCTGCTTAGAGGTTACTGTGGATTTTGAAATTATGCTGGAATTTTACCGAGAGTCTGTCCTTAGGCGGTCGTGGCTTCTTTCACCCCGAGCGTGATGGTGAGTCCTCGTGTGATGCCGAGGACATTTTCTGTTCCCGTTGTAGTAGCAGACCTGGTAGGGTATTTAAATAAAGCGAGTCCCTGATGTCTGCTTCTCAGGCTGATTCCAGATTTAGCAGGAGAAAAGGTGTCAGTCCGGCGAATTCGTGACACTGATAACTGGATATTGAGAGCACAGAAATTAAGCCGGCTTTTTGGGCTGGAGCATTAGAGATTGTTTTCAGATGAGACATCATAAAACTTCACTCCTGATGAAGTTCATTGTTAAAAAGCAGATGTAAATTCACACAACAGCCATCTTTTATGCCAAGAGAATCCTTTGGGTTGGAAAAACATTTCAAGTACTGGCACGTCGCAGCTATCTCATGGTGTTGCTATGGATGTCTTCATATTATTCGTATTTTGCATGCGCTTTGGTAAATAGTCACAGATGCATACGTCGTGGTGGTGTGTGAGTGCATTTGTGAGCACATATATATATATACACAGATGAATAAATAAATAGAGAGCTAGCAGGTATAATTTTTCTTACCACTGAGCGTAGTAAGTCCTATTAGTGCCCATCGTGCAGCCTCTGCATTCAACCAGCTCAATAATGCAGTCCTGCTCAGTTCCCTCTTCTGAAACAACACACTAAAAGGTACCCAGCCCAGAAATTTGCTTTAAATGCCAGCAATTTAGTAGAAGATGGTTTGAATTATCTTAAAGCACTGCTTTACCCAAGAAATGAAACCTAGCAGGTAAGTATTGTCTTTGTAGGAAGCATAACAAAACCATGTTCGGTATGGTTTGTAGCGGTCCGTTAATATGCTTCTCTGGGATGCTGTTACAGAGAGAAATATCTTGGCATGATAAATCAATTTATCGGTTTTGAGTCCATTCGAAGCAGAAAAATAACGTGTTTGCCAATTGGGCAAAACCCAGAATGACTTAAGTGAGGAAAAAAGGCTTTCTTGTGACATGAACAGATTTATAAGAACAAAACCATGATTTTATAACTTTCTTTAAAATGACATCTCATATGCAGAAAGCCAAGTATGTTGGCAGTTGAATGTAACAGACTTAAGGACACTAATTGTAAGAGTCATTGCGGTTTGCTCTGTTTAAGGACTCACTTGCAATTGTTTTTCTGCAGTTCATGTACATTCTCGGTATCTGCTTGCTGATTGAGCTGACTGGTGGAGTGGTGGCCCTGATCTTCAGAAACCAGGTGAGCCGCCTGCCTTTAGGTTTTGCTCACCAAGGACGTTACTCACAATCCATGAAGTTATCGCTACTCTACTGAGCAAATAAAAGGCGTTAAAATTGTCACCTGAGCCCTAATTGATGGAAGTCTGAAGGCAAGTCCAGACTTTTCAGGACGTTTCAGGTTTGGGGATGAGGGGGATTGGCCACCCATTCCGGAGACGAGTTCCAGATTAAAGAATTTGGAGAAAATGTGTTAACTGAGGATGGGCAATACAAGCAAAACGAGTTTTCAGCTCTTAACGTGTTACAAAATGCTTTCTTCTCATTTGCGTTCTGCATCTCAGACTGCTGATTCGGGAAGTTTCCAGCTGGATTTGAAGACTTTGTTATTATGTTTTAATGGCCAGAATGTTTTACCTTCCCTAAGGGACATCGCTTCCCTGCCCACATCCAAAAGCAACATAACTAATTTCTGTAGGAGACCCCATCATTTACAAGCATGCCGTAACTATATAAAAACCTTAATTTTTTCTGAACAGAAAGCAGCAGACTGTTGTTTTCTGCTAGAAAAGTTTTGAAACATACATGTGTTCACTATGGCAAGCACTAGAATTCTATGCTTTGATTTTTTTTCTAATCTGGCAAAATACAAGCATTAGAAGGAGATGCTGAATAATAAGACCTCTTCTCTCCCCACCCCAGTCCTACCGATGTCATTTCCACAAAAAGAAGTCATACATACTACGTTACACGTCATTAAAAAAAAAAAAAGCAAGCTTTAAAAAAGATTTTTTGATTTTTTTAAAAAAATAAGAACTCGTTGTTATTCTGGAGTGGTATCATGTTCTCACTAGCTAGTGGTTTCTTCTTACTCCATGCTGGACCAGAGTCGTGCACTTGACTTGTGAGAGCAGAGGATGAGTTATCTTCATTTCTAGAAGCCATCGTTAGCTGTTGCCGTAGGTTTCACCTTGGCCCTGCATAAGGATTTCTTCTGAATTGTGGTGGGAGCGCCGGGCTCATCCGAAGGGAGCAGATCCGCCTGCCCGGCATAGGCGTGTGGGCGTCGCGGGATGCAGAGAATTTAATTGACAGAAAATTAAGTGAATGCCAAAGATGGTATTTGCTGAGAGGGCGAGGAAGAATTGCTGTTGTCTTTTGGACAAAGAAAACGTATTCTTGGGGTTTCTGTGCAGTAGGCGTTTTCCCGACACGTGTATCAGTTGGCTGAGGAGGGCAGCTGCGCTCAGGGACAGGTTTTCTTCGCTTGTTTTTATAAGGTTGACGGAGAAGTTGGGGTTAGTATGGGGAGGAGAAGGAAGTATTTAATAAAAGCTTAGGGTAATAGCCTCTATTTAAATGCTGATTGTTTTGCATGTCTTTTCCCATTTCTTTCTCTATTTCCTTCTCAAATCTGTCGAGTCTAAATGAGGTGATACCGGTAGGGCGAGAGTGGTCGGTATTTGCTGCTGTTCGTTCTTGGCCAGTTAGGATAGTCCTGCAAAATCCTGTGTTATTTCTAATCGCTGATGTGATAATTATTTTTGTTCTGTTTTGGTTTTAAGCGTTGCAGTTTGTAATACTGAGAAAATGAGTAGGTGTATTTCAGGTTTCTTTCTGACCTGTAAGGATTTAACTTTGATCGTTTTAGCAGCTGGATTGAAAGGGAAGTTGTTATGTTCTGGTTATGCTTAGTCCCGGTTTTTCCTATGCTGTGATTGCACTGGATGTTGAAAACTAAGTGCTCTTTTTTTCTTTTTTTTTTTTTTTTTCCCTTCATCTTCTGAACTTTAAAAGACGTTTTGTTGATTTAATTTCTAATATGCCAAGCTAAGGAGACACCATTTTATATCTGCCACCGCTCTGCTGCCATATTTCTCCAAAGAACCACGGTAAAACATACAGATACACTTTCCCCCCCACCCCTGTTTAAGGTAGAATAAAGCTCTTTATCTGGCCATTATGGACTCAACCTTTCCTTTTGTGCTCATCAATTACACTTGTCACTTTAACCTGCTCTTTTAGTTTTGTTTTGGCATGTGTAACCAGTGAATCTTGTTTTACTTTTGCCTTCTAGACAATCAACTTTTTGAACGATAATATAAGAAGAGGGATTGAGAATTACTATGATGATTTAGACTTCAAGAACATCATGGATTCTGTTCAAAAGCAGGTTGGTTTGTTGGGTTTTTTTTTCCCCGGGACTAATTCAGTGCTGAGATGCGGTAGGTCCTCGGCGACAGCTTTGAGTTTTTCCAGTGATGTGATAATCAAGTACTTACTGACGAGGAGGATGAGATCTCATGTGTCATCTGTTACGGCGTGGCTGCGGTCAGGGCTCCTCCAGTATCCCAGCTGGCATTTGAAGCCCTCTAGATCACTGCAAGAAAGGGGAGGGCGAAATGCAGCTTTTGCCTTAGTAGGTGTGATTCGGATGCTCGAGGCCAAATCCTGCAGACACGTGGGCTTATAGGGACCCCACAGCCAGATTCGGACAAATTCAGCCTACATTCCACCCAAGTTCTTGCACTCAGCGTTTCTGCTGGCTGGTCCAAGACATTCAAAAGCATCTCCTTAACAGGAGGCGCTGAATAAAGAGAAATTAGGTGGCAGTTAGGCTGTTGGAACCTGGGCCGTTGTATTTTCGCTCAAGGGCACATAGTAAGCTCTTTAACAAGGTGGTTATTCAAAGGAAATGCCTGTGGAAGCGTATATACCTGTAATTAAAATTCAGAAATTGTGTTGAGCCCAGCTGAGCATGACTTAATGGCACATGTGGTTGACTCACAGCCTTTTTATTTTTTTTAAGGCTGGCTTGTTGAAATGTTTATTGGATTATTGAAGAGTCCTGCCATGCAGTTCAGAGACTATAGAAGAAGCGGAAAATGTTCAGAAATGTGATGTCAGGGCCCATGTGATGTCAGTGACCATGCCAAATAATGATTTTTTTAAGAAAAAAAAAAAGTTAACTTAGGAAGTGATATGTATATTTTATGACATCGTTATGGAGATGGCAGCCTGCTTTGAAAAACAGTTAGCATGGAAAGTCTGTCAAAAGCAAACCATCATGAGGAAATTTTGTCGTTAGACTCCGTAACGCTTTAAAGTTTCCATGCACTGCCCAAAATTATGTATACGTACAGTGAATATACATTTTAGTGATTAAATAAACTGCTCCTTTTCCCTTAGTTTAGAATATAAAGTGAATATTTGTATTAAGTCAGTGTAAACTTACAGTATTTGCTTGCCAGATTTCAGTTCTACTAAATTACATCCAAAATGTTTTGATGAGATTATTTTTATGCCTTATAGCAACACTTTTGTCTTTCAGACTCATTTAGAAATGTAGTCACAACCCTTAAAAAAAATTGGAGAAGTATATTACAGCTCGTGATGGAGTGAATGTAAAAACATTGCTTAATGACATCCAGACCTGAAAAGATAATTTTTCACCTCGGAAAAGATGGGAGGTGGAACTTGGCGCCGAGTACTTTGCTCTGGCACCCTGGGTAATAGCTTGATGAGGAACGCTACCTATATCTTTAATTCTTTTCAGTTGTATCTATTGTATACATTCATATGTGCCTTGCTGATAAAACGACGGAATTGCTGGGTAGCTTAGTGCTCTTAAAATTGTTTTATTCTTACTTTGTTTTCTACCTATTAGAAGAGTTTCTGTTAAGATATGGATTTTATTTTTTTTTTTTCTTTGCTTTTTGTGTCATTTCTTCCAGTTTAAGTGCTGCGGTGGGGAAGATTATAAAGACTGGTCACAAAATGTGTACCACGACTGTGCGGCACCGGGACCGCTGGCCTGTGGCGTGCCTTACACTTGCTGTGTCACAAATAAGGTACGTCCCGGTATCTTGGCATCCCAGCTCTCTGCTGGGTTGCTGGCATTCGCTTAAAAAGGTACCTTAAGACTGGGGGAAGAAACAAAGGAGAATGGTTCCCTCCCAAAAATGGGAGCTATGGATCCGTGCGTCTTGGAAAGGAGAAAAGAATGAATTAGATGTGTTTGCTCTGGTCCATCTTACTGTCCCGCTGCGCGGTCGTAGAAATGAAGAGGGGATCTTGGGAGCTGCTCTGGACCAGCTGCTCTTGGACCGGCTGCTCTGGTCTCATGGCTCGCCTGGACCAGACCTGTTTCAAATTAAGTTTTGATGGTGTTTTCCCCAGGGTTTGCCACTCTGGCTTTGCCAGAAAGCCTGGGCCCCAATTGCTTCCGTGGGTGGGGGGGTTGGAGTGATGCGCACCAGCTGCTGTGTGAATTAAAAACCAACAGAATGACCCCATCATCCAGAAAAATCCAGAAATGTGGGCAAGTGACTTCAGGGTCAGTGCATCCTTGTGGGTGCAAGTCTGGGCTGGAGCTGCTGCTCTGCCCTACCCCATCCTTGAGAGCTGCCCGCCTTGCCGCCCTGTGAAATCCTCCCTGGAAGTCAGATGGAGTCTGGACCAGGTTCTCAGTCTACGATGAACTGGTATTAACCGGTGCTGGCAGCACTAAGAGCAGGCCTTCAGTTCCACGTAAAAGTGTTTTATATAAAATTTTAGCAGTTTTAATTCATTGCTCTTCATTTGAGGGCTGGATGTGATGCTGAGTTTGATAAAGAACTATTCCTCGACTTAAAACCGTTATGGGCAATCCCTGCCTCACTGGGTTTTGGTCTGAACATGAGACAGAGAAATCGAGTATGTGTAAGAGCAGATGCAGTAGAGCTCATGATGGATAACCTACCGGTGCCTGTTACGTGCCGCCCTTTCAGCGTCTGCCTTGAGTATGGCTCTTCAATTAAAAAAAGGGAAAATAAATGCAATAATTGTGTCAGTAATCCTGCTAGGTGTTGCTGAGAAATGTGTATAATATGAAGGTGTTTATGTTATGTATGCTTACACATTTTTTCTGTATGAGAAAAAGTCTGTTTAAATCTGCGCTGAGCTTTGATTTATTCTCAGAAACCAAAACTAAACAGTTTGCTTTAAGTCTTAGGTGTTTGAGAATAAGAAAGTCGTGTATAGGCAAATAGGATCTGCTGATCCACAGCTGCGCTGAGCAGAAGAGCTCAGAATTTTGCCCTCGGTTGATGGTAATGGAAGATAGAGCTGGCTAGTAAAAAGCAATCTGAGTTTTTAGTGGTCATTCAAAATACTGCCTGTTTTCCTGTAGCTCTCATTTCTCTGTTGAAGTCTTATTTTAAAAGGTTAGTTGATGTCTGTGGAAATAACAGCAGTCCTGTGCAGGCGAAGCACCGCAGTAACCGATGACTAATAACGCCAGGTGCCTTTCCAGCTGTGGCACAAATAATCAAACACGTTGAGGATTTCAAATGCAACCTGTCAGGCGGGAAAGCGCTCAAATAAAAACTTGTCCAAGGAAAACAGGGAGTTACGTTCTCCGTATGCTTCACTGGCAACTGGGGAGTGGGGGATGAGACCGCTGGCAGCCTGAAGGTAGCCTGCAAAGTGTTGAGCTTGGGGAAGTTAATGGAAAGGTGGGGAGAAGCCCCAAAATAACAACCAAACTTCTTATTTAAGGGTCGACTGTTCAGCAAGATGCTGCAGTATGTTCGGGCTTGTGCGCTTTGCCGCCGGGGGATGCCATTGATGTGCCCGGCGAAGTCCTGGCGGCACGGACCTGTACTCGGCAGGGTGACACTAACACCGCGGCTGTATGGCCAGCTGCCTTGGGGGGAAAAAAACCCCACAACACAACAACCAGGAGATGCATAAATCTTGTATATTTGACAAATGCTTCCAAATACAGGCTGGTTTCTGTCCTGGAAAGCTACAGATATGGTTTGTGATTACTCATTCGCTTTGTAGTCATGGAAAACTCCTGCTAATGTCGGAGGTTGGATTCTGATCCCCTGCAAAAGCCTTGTGCTAACATGAGCCAGGCTCAGCCTGGGGAGGCTCTGAAGGGGCTATTTTTAAGTCGAAGTATTTATAAAAGACTTACACTAGTGTAGCAGATAAAAAATTAGTTCTCAGATGCTTGTAAACCTCTGTTTCTAATGCATTTATCTCTGTTGCATACATTTTCTTGTGCCGCAATGTCTTGTTAGCAAATACTGTGTTTAAAATTAAGTGACGTGACTGTGTTCCTTGTGGTCATGTGTTTGGGGATGACCGCACGTTTGTCGGTTAGGCTCAAGCGTTTTGTGAACGTGAAATCCCTCACAGCGAACATAGCAACACCCTGATGCCTGGTATTGCAAACTTGGACTTCCAAGAGCATTAATTACCTGTGGTTGACAGAGGGGTACCCCTCACGTTTTCCCAACAGTATATTAATATATACTGCCTATTAATACAGTAGAGTTTGTTCTCCCTTATTTTCCTCATTGGCATATTCTGATTTTCTTCCATGTCTTTGGCTTTGTTCGTTGCTTCCTTTGATGCCGGTGGGCTTTACGTCGGCTGATTTGTAAGTGAAGGACGGTACTTTCAGGTTAGCTTTGCCGGGCCAGGTAGAGCTTTGAGGCCCACGCAAAATATTAAATGGCTACAGAAAATGCATTAGTGATCTGTGATGAATGCAAACACTCAAGTCTTTTTTTAAATATATGACATTTACATTCGTGTATATATAATTAAATATAAAAATATGATAAATTTGGTCTTGTAAAATGTTCATGTAAGCATTCGTAGTATTGGGTGTTATTTGGGGTTGAGATATTTCTGAGCTTAAATCTGTCATCGTGATGGCATGATGGCCATGTTAACCCCTGGTTTTCTTAATAAGATATGTTAAGTTATTAAGGTCTCAGAATTAAAACCAGCTGTTTGTTCTGTGGAAACCGCTGTGGCGTACAGCTCTGTGGCAGCTAGCTTTGGTTTCTAACACCACGCTGGTCTTGCTGGATAGATACGGTTCAAGTGTCTCGTGTCATGACACACCGGCAACACCGATTTCTCTAAAGCGGTGTAGAGCTCTGTCTAAATCTGACCCTGGGGCTGCTGGAAGAAACCGGTGTTGGGCTGGGAAGTAACCCTGTTGTTGCTTTTCTGTGAGCTGGGGGAACACAAGAAGAATAAAAAAGAAATTTTTTTGTGATTTTTGTTTTCTACTACAGTTTATATTTGTTGTTTTCTTTTCAGACGGGGATTGTCAACACTATGTGCGGATACAAAACCATTGACAAAGAGGTAACGTAACCAGTGTCCACCCTGTCGTGGCAAAGGGTGATGCTTCTCTGCATCTTTTTTTTTTTTTTGGTCAGTTATAAAATTGTCTTCTGCATGCTTAAATCTACAGTTAAATCGGCAATTAAAATGATTTTATCTGGAATAACTTTCATATATTAAAAAAACTAGTCTTGTTTGATTGTGGTATCTTCCCTTCTTTGTATCTTCCACGATTCCTTGTTTGACGTGGGTGCAGCGCATCTTCCCAACGCTCATCCATCCCCCTTACGCTAATTGCACAATTAATGCAAAGCAAGCCGCTTTCATCTTTGAAGTAGTGACTCGAGTTGGGGAACGCTTTTAATTCTTGAAAGCCAAAGTTTCTCACTGAATGAAATCGGTTTTGGTAAATCCAGCTTAGCTGTTTCTAAGTATTTTATATCCCAGTAGTGGGTGTTTTATTTTTAAGCCTGTAAGTTATTCCTGGAAGAGGAGCGGGACTTCCCAGGTTGTGTTGGCAGCTTCTCCTCCCTCCGGGAGCGGGATGGGGCCTCCTCCTTCTTCAGCCGTCCCCCTTTGGGAATAGCCCCAGTGACTCCAGAGTAGAGACTGCCGGCTCGAGGCACTAATTGTGGAGTGATTAAGAAGGGAAACCAGTAATTGGATCTGCCACGAGTTCTCCACTCCCAGCTTTGGAGTGCTGGTGCGGGGGATCAGTCTGAAAAATCCCCTCTCTCCCCAGCTCCTTTGAGGCACTCGGCGCACAATGCCAGCTTCGGTTGTTGGTTTTGGGGATTGCCGGTTATCTTTACATATGACCTGTCTTCGTTTAGATTCCTTGATTTATGGCTTAATCACCTGAACGCTCCAGCCGGGCTCTAACGCCCAAAGCACTTAAGCGTATGCCTAACTTTACCCTATTCATCTGCTTAGGACTCTTCGCAGCCTCAAGTGCTTTCGGTATTATGGGTTGGGGTCACGGTGCAGTGCAGCTTGCGGGACTGAATCTGAAATCCTCTTGTTCCTGCCCTTTTTAGAGTCTGTTGCAAAGCGCCTGGTCCGCGATTTATATTTTTCCACTGCTGTACTTTCAACTTGGAAGCAGAGATAAAAGCTAAAGAGAGACTTCTCTACTTTCTAAGTGGTCTAAAATGAGAGTTGGATGCGTTTCTTTTAGAAAAGTAGTTGCCAAAAAAAGGTTTAAAAAAATAAAATAGCTTGTTCAGGTGTGGATCAGCTTAAAAACAGATGGAGGAATTAGTGATGAGGTCTCTGTTAAATTCAGTGGGTTTAAAGAGATGGGAAGGAGGACCAAATCTGCCTCCCTGAATTTTGAGTTATCATGTGCTGCTGTATCATGCGCCAGTGCAACAACTGCCTGTTGGAACGTTTGCTCTGTTATTTTGCAGCGGTTGAGTGTTCAGCACATTATATATGTCCGAGGGTGCACGAATGCGGTGCTTATTTGGTTTTTGGACAACTACAGCATCATGGCTGGCGTGCTGCTCGGCATATTGCTGCCCCAGGTAAGAAGGGGCCAGGGCGTTAATCCATTAAAGGGAGTATCTGATTTGTTGCTGCGATATGTGAAATCCCATTTGACTATATGTCATTATCATTTTTTATTTACATTTAATGTAACTGATAAGCTGAGGTGGCTTATCAGCAGTAATTTAGTGGCATTACTGTGATGTATTGCAGAATTTGGTGGATTAATTTGGTTTTGCTTGGGTTTTTCGAGTCCTTTCCTCCTCCTGGCTGGGTCCACTGAGACTTTCTAATGCTCCAAGGCACAAGGGTGGTAATTCTTCTGCTGTATTAGCTCTTCACAAAAATGATCCGTTGATACCCCTATATGCAAAGAAAAATAACAACGTGAGTTTCTGTCTGTGTATATACCGCGTACCTGCCTGTATATCTGACGTACGTATACATAATTTGTGAAAACTGCTGCGAGAAGCGTTAGATAAGCGGTGTTTGATTCTGACGAGTGATGCCCCTTCCTTTTGCAGTTCCTGGGAGTGTTGTTATCCTTGCTTTACATAACTCGGGTGGAAGACATCATCACCGAGCACAAACTGAGCGACAGACTGTTTGAAGAAGCGCAGCCGAGATCTGCCCCCGAGTTTGCTGGAGCCGGCTGCTGCATGTGTTACCCGGGGTGACTTCGGAAACCTCAAATACGGTTTTAAAAAAAAGGCAAATCCACCTGTTCTGGTTTGTGCTGGCTATTACAGACTGTGGGTGTAACGAATCGGCTGGCAGACCAGCGGTGGGTCGGCAGCGTGCCGATACCTCCGTAGCCTCGTCGCTCTCGGTGTGTTTGCAACCAAAGCCACACCAGAAGGGCTCCGCGCTGCCAACGATGCTGCTGCGGTATGACGGCACTGCCGGAAGGTGGGCTTGTGGATCTTTATCTCTTTTTTGAATGATCGCTGAGTGATACGCAGCCGGGAAAACTATTCTGTGAAGATTTGAAGGTAGATTTCTAGGAAGAGCCTTTGCGTCTTGGGATGTCCTATTTAAATGTTTGTCCTTTCCAACTTTATTTTCTTACTCCTTCCAAAAAAGATTTCTTACCAATCTACCAGGTGAATATTAAACATGTGTTTAATAAATTTTTTTATGCTAATCTTGATGAAATTACTGACAATAATGGATGTGATGGTGAACGCTTTCACTGCTCAGTCTTTTCGTAATGGGGCAAATGCCAATGTCGAATCAGTCAGGTAATGCTTGATATATTTTTAATGCAATTTGTTACTGTCTGGCTTTTGTATAAACTTACGGGATGTTTGCGTCTTGTATGTACTGTATTTTTCCTCTTTAGTAATTTAACTAGATGATTTCTGATCTTCTGTTTTTGGAGTTCTATATGTTGAGATGTTTCTAAATTTTATTCTTCTTGTCAAAATAAAAACAGTAAGTTGTTTGGTTTTTTTTTTTAAAAAAAAAGCACAAAGATTTTGTTTAAAATGCTTTTTATTTTTTTATCTAATTTAAGCCTGTCCCTCAAACGCTGGATCAAAACGTAGAAATACCTTGAGCTGTGATTCTGGCTTGGATGCTGACTTCCCTGGGGTTTTGGACAGAGTCACGGAAGGTCTGTGCCTCCCTCGCTTCTCTCGGTGAGTTGGAGATGGCACTCGGGAAGTCACCGCGAGCTCTGGGGTTTTGGTTGTCGTTGCTTGGTCCTGAGCATTTCTCTGCAGTCTTTCCAGCCCCAGCCAGGCTTGCAGGCAAAATGCAAAACCTAATTATCATGATGCTTCAAATAAGCAAATTCAGGATGGGAATAAAGCAGGTATCCTGTCTTTGTGAATCTCTTCTTCTCTGACACTTCACTAAGCCACGCAGAGGAATATCTGATGTTCTCTCCTTGCATCTGATATTATTCTCTCCTTGCTGCATTTCTTCTGCTTTTTTTTTTTTTTTTTTTTTTTTAAATTTCCTTGCACTGGACATGTTTTCTACTTTCTTCAAAACTCAGTGTTTGCTGCTTAGCTCTCCGCCTTCACCAAGGATTTCTGAGGAAGCTTCATGCATTTCCAGAAGACAAAAAATGACTCATCCAGTTCTTCGGTGTTCCTGACGGTGTCGAGAGAGAGAGAGATCCCGCAGTGTTACTGAGCCCATCATCCGTGGTGCCAGGTTATTTCCCAGACTGCACGCTCTAGCGTTCGGTCCCACCAGTGTTTACATATTTAATTGCTCCATATCGTTGTCGCCTAAATTTTCCAGGTCTCTGTCCTGAATAATACATTTTGGTAAGTCAAGAAGCAAGGTGTGTTTTAAAGGTGGATTTGCGTACAAAGAGAGAAAGGGGAAAAAGGAGGGGGCAGCTTCGGAGGACTGAGCTGACTGCTGGTGAAGGGTGGGAAGATTGAAGCCAAAATTGGTTTATTGAGGAGAGGGGGCTGGAAAGGTGGGAGCTGAAAGCATCAGGAGCTGAGGTATCACCAGAGGCAGAGCCGTGCCCTGGCCTTTAGCAAGAGGGGACTAGCGCTCGAACTTGAGCTGGCAGGAAGGCTGTAATGAATTGTGAAGGAAGGGATGACAAAGGTAATTTTTCTTTGATGACAAAGGTAATTTTTCTTTCTTTCCTAGTAGCGTACTGTAAATGTTGTGGTGGTTTGAAGTACAAGATACCCGGGAAAGCAGGAGATGATGGAAGCGTGGTTAAAATTTGGGTGGTTTAAATGAAACTGAGAATATTTGGGGGTCCTAGGCAGCAATTCTCCTTTAGTAAGGAAATTTGAGGGCTGCACTGAATTTTCAGCCATCCTCAGTGCTCCCTGTCATACGCAGTGTTTGGGGGTGACAGTCAGTGTACCTGACAATCACGAACTAAATGTGTGTGACTTTGTTTAATAAGTGATTGATTCAAATACTATTGACCCTTCCCATTCCCTCGGATCTGAGGAAATGAACTTTTGGCTTCACAGGCCCATGGTGATCGAAGAGAAGGATGATGCTGATCAGGAGGCGGCTGGAGGAGAGGGATGCAGCGGGTCTGTGCTCAGCTGCCTCCAGGCACCTGAGCTGTGGGAGATGATGGGGAGACCACGATGGAGGGGTGAACGTGGTCTTAAGCATGAGGCTTGGCTCTTTTCAGCGTGCCATGCAACGTCCTGTTAGTACATTGATTTTTGGAATGGGTTTGTAGTGTGCACAAGGTGTTTTGTGTGCTGACAAGTAGCTCTTTTTATCCTGAGCTGCTGACCCTGCAGGGATGTGCTCCATCCTGCCCAGTTCATCCACATGAGCGAGGTCTGGAGGGAACGTGGTACGGCGTTAGTGAACCTGTGGTTCGTCTCCAGCCGATGCTCCACACACCTCACTGACCCAACTGCCAGCATTTTCTGTTTAAAAATGCACATCCTTGTGTCTACAAACAAATCAACTGGAAGCGTGCAAAGGGCTACGCTCCAAAATTTTGTCCTGATCTGATTTTTGCATTTAGCTGTAAGCAAAAACCACTGCAGCCAGGCTAGCGAAGGTCATCTGGGCTTTTCCAGACAGCCGACGTGAAAGTTGGTTTTAAAACGGGTGAAGACCGCTGATCTAATTCAATCCCTGCCTTTCTGGCAGGAGCAGCCGCAGCTGGACTACTCCTTGCAGGTGCATCCTTAACCTGCTTCTAAACGTGCTCCTTGCCTGCTGTTTAAAAGACTGAGGCAACTCTGTAAAGTGTCAGAACTGTTACGGATTTTTTTTTGTGTGTGTGTACGTGATTTCAAAGTGCTCCGACAACTGGGAGCTTCCCGTGGTTCATCCTTCACGTGCTCCTGCTTTCCCCGGACACTCTGCCCTCCGCAGATGTTGGGCAGATGTTTGTGCTCCCTGCCTGCAAAAATCACCCCTGCCAGTCCTTGCTGCCCGACCCCTGCGGTCCCTCTCTCCTGCCTGCATCCTGGTGCCTTTCTGCCTGCCACGGGACGGCCGTGCGGAGCAGCTGTCTGTTCAACAACCGGGAAACTGAATGATGCCAACAACTCCTCTGTGCCGGCTGCCTGCCGAGCCACTGGGCAGCGATACCCAATTTAAACTCCCTCCTTTCCTTGTGGGTTCAAGGGAGCAGGGTCGCTGTGCCGCTTCAGCAACGTGGAGGGGTTTTGCACCAAGAATCACGCCCCGTTCAGCTAGAAACAGAGATTTACCTCTCCATTTCAAATGATTACAGGCCATCCAGGCACAGCCTGGGCATGCACTTGGGCGATGCTCGCTGGCGAGCTCAGGACCTGGCTGGAGCATCACACGCGGTATACGCTGTACGATGATGTCATGTGATAAAAAAAATCTTGAATTAGCGCAGTTCTGGAGGAGAAACGCTGGGCAGCTCTCCCTCTGGTGGTGTGGGTATGTCGTATCACAAGGCAGTAATTAAATACCGATTTGCCGGGAATTAAATCTCCGCTCGGCGTGTCTATACGGCGCCGGGGTTTCTCCAGTGGCCCTGTCCCCTGCCCCGCTTCAAGAAGCCCTCTTGTGCGGGCACAGCTTCCATGGGCTTCGTCCCCTCGAAAGCTAAAATTCCCTCATTAGCCCCAAAGCTCTGCAGCAATTAGCATCTGTTTGTGAGGCAGAGAGGGGCACTCGGGATACGGCTGCTTCTTACAACCTGACCTGGAAAACCAGCCTCGGAGGCGGGCTGAGCTAATTTCCTCCTGATGGGAAAAAAATTGGTGTTTAAGATCTAAAAACCATTTAGCTAAAAGTTGTTTTGCAGATTTGTGTTCCTAACGCCCTTCTCTTCACTAGGACTTCCCAGTGCTCGTGACTTTTCTGTACAAGCTGATTATTAAAAGATGCTTGCGTGGGTTCAGGAATTGCTTTTTGGTAAGAAATAATCTGGTGGGTGTTTGGTTGCAGAGTGCAGGTGCTCCTGCTCCCTGGGATCCTCTGGAGTCCGCTGGGCCAGGGAGATCAGCTCAACCCCGAGCACAGTGGTGACAAGTGAAGTTGCTTTGGGTTTGCATCCTTGTTTGATGTCTATGCCTTTCTAGAGAGGGGGGAGAGAGGGTGGCATCTTCATCTGTGGTGGTGAGAGCACCGCTGCTGTTTAACTTGTCAAAATTATGGTCAGTCCATCGTGCTGCTTAAAACTGACCTTTGCGCGCTCGGGGTGGGAGTACTGCTTTTGTTCGGGTTCAGCTCCTGGCCTGAAGTCTGTCTCTGCAGGGCTAAAATTTTGCCTCGCAGGAGCAATGAGTCCTCAGCAAAGGTAGCTGTTAAATCCCTTCGGGAAAGTGGGTGTCCTGCCCATTTCCAGCATGCTCTCCTGAAGGAGGTACTTTTTTTTGCATGGGAAGTTTTTTCCTTGGTGAAGAGGTAGAGGTAGGTGAAAGCTGCTGTCCCAGAAAGCAGAGAAGGCGAAGAGCCGATCTGCCTGGGATGTGCACAGCAGGGCAAAGCCGCCCCGTGCTTCTGGGCGTTGGGTACCGGTTTGCAGATCACACCCGCGTCACGGTGCTCAGCCCTCCCTGGAGATTTCTTGTGGATCAGTGCCACAGATTTTGGAGATGGGGAGGCTTTGCCTGGGGAAGCACAAGGAGCTGCAGGCACTGGCTGAGCATCGCTCGCGGCAGTGGTCTCGGGATGCTCAGTGACCCCTTAGTGGGAACCATGTGGGGCTGATCCCTCGGCTGGAGCAAAGCAGAGCAGC